TTTCCCCAGGATCGAAAAACCAATACAGAACAAATGGGTGTTCAAGTTGAAGAAATGATGGCAGCGGAAAGACTATCAAGTATAAGGCTCGATTGGTTGTCAAAAGGTTTCAGGACAGAAGAAAAAGGTATGATTTATGATGAAATCTTCTCAGCCAGTTGTGAAATATGACCTCCATTCGAGTAGTTTTGGACTAGCGGCCAGTTTGAATTTGGAACTTGAACAAAGGATTGTAAAGAACAACATTTCTCCATGGGATCTGAAAGAAGAAATCACATGAGCAGCTAGAAAGGTTTGAAATAAAAGGGAAAGAAAACTTAGTCTGCAGATGAGAAGAGTCTTTACGGCCTCAAACAAGCGCCTAGACAATGGTATGAGAAGTTTGACTCATTCATGGTGGGTCATGAGTACAGAGAAACTGCTGCAAAAACCAGTGTGTCTATGTTAGGAAATTTCCCGATGGAAACTTCATCATACTCTTGCTCTATGTTGATGACATGCTGATTGTTGGACAGGATGCCACAGTAATCAGATCACTGAAGAACGAGTTATCACCAGTCCTTTGACATGAAGACCTAGGCCCTGCACAACAAATGTTGGGCATACAAATTGTGCGTGACAGGAAAGCCAAGAAATTATGGCTATCACAGGAGAAGTACGTTGAACGGGTGATTGCGAAGTTTAACATGAAAGATTCCAAGCCAGTTGATACTCCGCTGGCTAATCATTTCAAGCTCAGCAAGAGTTCTTGTCCCTCCTCTACTAAAGAAAAAGAGAAGAGAATGGAGGCTATTCCCTACTTATCGCCCGTAGAGAGTTTGATGTATGTAATGGTGTCTACCCGACCAGATATCACTCATGCTGTTGAGTAGTAAGCAGATTCCTTTCCAATCTAGGAAAAGAGCATTGGGAAGCAGTCAAGTGGATTCTGAGGTACCTCAAGGGTACGACAAAAATGTGTTTGTGCTTTAGAAATGCTTAAACCAGTCTTGGAAGGCTATACGGATTCCATATGGCGGGAGATCTTGATGGTAGCAAATCTACATCAGGATTTTGTTTCACTTTCGCAGGGGGAGCTGTGCCTTGGCAGTCCAAGTTACAGAATTATGTTGTTTTATCCACAAACGAGGCAGAATTATATACCGCAGCGGAAGCTGGGAAAGAGATGTTGTGGTTACAGCGGTTTCTCCAATAGTTGGGATTAAAACAAGAAAGTTCATGGTACATTGGATAGCCAAAGTGCCATAGACCTGAGCAAAGAATTCGATGTACCATTCTCGCACAAAGCACATTAATATTCAGTATCATTGGATACGTGAAGTGATGGAAGGCAGTTATTAGAACTGATCAAGATCCATACAGTAAGAATCCAGCTGACATACTGACAAAGGTGGTCTCGAGAAACAACTCAAAATCTGCAGAGACATTGCCGGGATGGACTTCAAATGAGAAGTCAGCTCCATATGGGCGTGGAGGGGAAGAATTGTTAGTGTTCCACTGCCCATTCAAATGGAGCAACCACTATGGATAGTCGCTCTCCCACTCTTCCACTTCACCCACCCATTAGCTAATGGAAGGGGTTGGTGGCAACCGATGACCTCCTTCCTCAATTGTGTATAACTTGAGGTGATGAGGAGGGGTTGGAGATAGACAAGAAAAGAAGACAAGTGATTACAGTGTGTGTAATCTGAGAGATTGTGAGAAGTGAGAGTGCTATAGTGTGTAAGTGAGGTGTGAGTGTGTAAACTCCCTCCGGGAAAATTCTATAGTGGATAGCTCTCCGTGGACGTAGGCAATTGCCGAACCACGTAAATATTCTTGTGTTATTGTGTGTGATTGATTTCTGGTGTCTCACAATCCCAACACAAGGACTGAGGGAATTCAGTTTTAAAACCCTTTCTTCTGCGACAGAAGGTTTCCATGCCAAAAACAAGCTTGGCAAAGGTGGCTTCGCCCAAGTATACAAGGTAAATCATGTTATGATCCAAACACAACCTTAGTGTGCTGAAGTAGACCAAAAAAAGAAAATATTTTCTAGTCAAGAAAAAATAAACTTTATTGATGAATGAAGAATGAACAACGTACATCAACAAAGAGCAAGGATGTACAAGTAACAACACATAAAGAAAACATATTGTTTTGTAGTAAAAAAATAAGTAAAATAATTTCAAAATGTGAGAAGTTATATATGTTTTTGTCCTCCTCTAAAATTTGAATCTTGGATCCATCCTTGACTAAAAATGTTTTGTAGGGCAAGTTGACTGATGGGGGCGAGATTGCGGTGAAGAAACCATTGGTGATCTCAGAGAAGGGAAAGGAACTTGTCCTGAACGAGATGAAACTGCTGTTGGGGTCTGCACACCACCGAAATATTGAGTTTGCAAGTAATGGCAGCCTTGTTTACCTTCTTTTTAGTAAGTATTAATATCACCTACTGTATTTTTAATTGTAAGTTGAGTTAAGGTCTTCGAAAATCAAATAGATTATTCTAAATTTATTATTTTAAAATTACACTTGCCTTACTGTGACACAAATTCTCAATGTTATTTTCCCAACTATAAGACTAGGCAAGTTTTACTTTGAATTCAATTTTATGAAATTTTTCATCTGCAATTGAGAAATTTCTATTCAAATTCCTACATTAACTTTCATGTAACTTTTTGAGAAGTTTTCCAGATCTGTTTTTTATTTTAATTTTTATTCTTGTCTAAATTCTATTTAATTAGTTAATAAAAATATTAAATAACCTATATGATTGATTAATATGTTAGACCACCATTATTATCTTGCTAAGATTGCAATTAATGAGAACCAATAAAAGACTCTCAAATAGACTTGCAATTTCAAATAATCTAAAGTTATTAAAATAATAAATAAATAATTGTTGTAATTTAAAATGACAAGGTAAGTAGATGTGGGATCAAAACATGAGGAACAATAACAATCATTCATTTGATCAAAGAATAAAAATTACACATAAAGTCAAGACACCTTCTGGAAAGGATATACTCATAGATTCACGCATCTGTTCTTTTCTAATTCATAGTGAACACAAAATTATGATAAATTAATTGTATCATACTACAATTTTTTTATTAAGTCACCATTTTCAACGCAGCAACTAATCTCAAACTTTTGTACTATTTTTGATGGTCTAGATTCAGAGGCTTGTAGAGCAGACGCGCTTGACTGGAAGCGAACATATGCCATAATCATAGGTGTTGCCCGAGGCTTGCTTTACCTTCATGAACGATCACACAATGTAATTATCCACTGTGACATTAAACCCACCAACATCCTAATAGATGAAAATTGGGTCCCCAAAATTGCTGATTTTGGCATGGCCAACCTCTTCCCTCAAGATCAAACGCATGTTAATATCAATGAAGCTACCGGTACGCTGTATGTATTAAGCATATAATTTTTCTTATTTTTCCTAATGTATTTAAATTCTCTATATGTTGTCACTGAATCCTGCTCTTTTCAAAGAAAAAAAAAATCGAATCCATCCAATCAGTGTTTTGTTGAGTTTTCAAAAACCTTTTTCTCCAAATCTTTTTTTTTTTTTTTTGAACAAAAAACTTTTTGAAACTTGATTTGTTGTTAACGTATGCTTGTACATGGAGTCAGTGGGTATTTGGCTCCCGAGTACATGGATAATGGACACGTCTCTCCGAAGGCGGACACATACAGCTTTGGAGTAGTGGTTTTGGAGTTGATAAACAGTCGGAAGAATTGGAATTCCCATAATCAGTCTCCCAATGGTCAAGGTCTATGGGATACGGTAAGCGCACGTGATTCACATTTTTAATTTGAACTGAGTTTAATTTGCAATTAGCCATTATCATACAAGGGAGGTGTCTCCAACTGAGCTTGTTGCTAAATTTTGTGACATGATCATTCATTGTTGACGAAGGCAAATGAACTCTGCAAGGAAGTAAAGGTGTCAGAGTTTATGGACCTGAAATTGATACCATCGGCTGTCCTTGATCAAGTACAATTGTGTGTAAAGATTGGGGTGTTGTGCATAGAATTTGATCTAGAACTACGACCCACCATGGATCGCGCGTACTCAATGCTATTAGAGAACCATAGTAGCAGCAACACCCTAGTTAATGAACCAATGAGAGACGGATCATCATCATCATCATCCACAGCTTGAAATTCAGGTGAGTCCAATTCCCATAAGAATTTCTACTTCCAAGGGCCCTTTATGTTCAATGATTTTCCTATAAGCATTTCTTTCCAGTTGACAAAATCACACTACAAGAAAAGTGGGTATAAAACACGAAACTTTTTGCGACGGCGTGTACACCGTCGCAAAATCTTTTGCGATGGCATATGAAGCCGTCTCAAATAAATATTTTCTGCGACGGTAGTTTCCCCGTCGCTAATAAGCACACAACAAAAAGCCTCTTAAATACGGAAGTATTCGTGACGCACTGTGTACCGTCGCAAAAATATTTTTTTTGAGACGGCGAAATTTACCGTTGCAAATAGTAGACATTTGTGACAGGAATTCTCTGTCGCAAAAAAAACTCTTATTAAAACAGCGTCGTTTTAATGAATGGATTTGATCATTTGTGACGGTTTTTCTATACCGTCGCAAATAGAACTGAAAATTTTCATCTCCCTCCTTCAGCCGAAATGGCGCTAAAAATCCCCAAAATCCCTAACACCATTCTCCCTCAAAACCCCCAAAATCCCTAAATCGAGTTCGTGTATCACAATCACAGAGACGAGTTCGAGTTCCCAAAGTGATGATGATCTTTCTCTCTCTCTCTCTCGACGAGCGACGACGGCGACGGCTAGCGGCGTTCGAGTTCACCGACGATCACAGCGACGACGGCAAGTGTTCACTGACGATCTCTCTCTCGACGAGCGACGACGGCTAGCGGTGGTACGGCGATGGCGTATTACAATCTCTCTCTCTCGCGCGAGCTCAATCAGTATGCTCTCTCTCTCTCTCTCTCACAGACACACACACACACACTGATATATATATATATATATATAAATTTTTCTTCCCTTGTATGCTGATAACTGGTGGCACATGTTAACACACTGATTCTGTTCGTGGTACATGATGATTCATGTCGTTTTTCACTTTTTACATAGTTACAAAAACATGTCTTTGTTTGGATGGTCCATGAGAAGGAATATATACAATTTGGGATTGATTAAATCATATTCTTGAAAGAATATCAAGTGGGTTCGTGATGTTTCCGTAACACCAGATACCTTCTCATAGGCAACAATTTGTTTGGGGGGATATGTTTCCACCCTTGTGGCATATACTTTGCTTTGGAGTTTGGTAATTGTGTACTTATCAACAAAATTTGTTAGGAGGTGTTTGGTGATAGTAGCTTGGTATTGTTGTGGTTTGGTTGGTTGAATAGGGTAGACACATTATTAGATGGGAGATGTGGGGGGCCACTCCATCCCCACCATTTCAAATTGTGTTAAGGGGAGGAATTTGAATTAGGAGAGGCAAACAAGGGAAAAGTAAAAGGTGTTGGCGGTGGTGGGGGTTTGTATGATGGGTTGTTTCTTGCTGGGAAAAGAGTAGGTACAAAGAAGAAGTTGCTCAACACGTAAGTCTTGTTATTCTAACTTCTTATTGATAATACTCATTTTTCTTGTTTCATTTTTCAATATTATAAATAACAGTGGGTTCAAGATGTGTAGAAATCATAGTTTTCCTTGATGAATCATGTATTCATTTTGATTTTCTCTCATTGGCTGTATCTGGGGTCATTCCGAAACATTTACCTCTCCCAAATACCATGAGCTACTATAGTTTGGTAATGTAAATGGTATCTTTCTCCAGTTATTAAATTTCAGCCTGATTGCTGTAGTATGATGTGTTGTAGTAACGTATCTTTTAATGTGCTTTATGACCTCCCTGTTGGACCTGATATCCTGGTACGGTATGGAATCTTGTCCCTTGCTTGGAAATAATTAGTCATACTGGTGTTCTCTTCTTGTTACTTTCTTGGTTTGGATGCCGACCGTGATGTTATTTTATAGATAGGTTTGGTACTAGACGTAAATCTGTGAAGTTAAAGTGCTGTATTATGAACTAATTTGTCGTCTAAATGGAAACATACCAGATCTCTTTTTAGAAGCTTCGTCCTTGCATTGTTTTACTCTTGTTGCAAGTCATCAAGTTAATGTTTCGTTTTAATTGATTGCAGATAGTGTTTGGTTATTGATTTCTTTCATACAGGGTATTACTTTTGAGCTTGATAAAGAGATGGCTGCAGATGACGACGAAGGGAGGCATTGCAAGAAATTATCAACAATACTAAGTTAAGTGAAGGTTATCTTACACTTGCTCGTGATACAGAGGTCATGGAGCCCAAATCACCTGAGGATATTTATAAGGTTGGGACTTCTTAGATATCCATACTAGCTCTTGATTTGTCCTGTCATCTTGGTAGTTATAATTACTGTTGCATGTTTGAAAGGGGTTTGTATGTGTGTTATTCCTAGTTGTTTCTTCATCAAACCTGCTATTCTTGCTTGGATTTAATTAGGCACATTTGCTCAATGGCCGGGCTAGTGCTGGTGCAAGTGTTGATTCAGCCAGACAGAGCTTGGCAGCTATATTTGTTAATGCATTTGTGAATGCTGGCTTTGGTCAGGTAAAAGGGTGGTTCATTTGCGTAAGAAATTTTGGAGGCAAACATTTTAGGGATGGCTTCATGTAACATTTGCTGCTTATATTGTGGCAGGATAAGCTAATGACAGTCCCATCAGAGGCTTCAAGTGGTGGTTCTTCAGGAAACTGGCTCTTTAAGAATAAAGAACACGGAAAAGTCAGTGCTGCAGCATGTCTGGTATGTTCCCCTCCCCTTTCAGTCTATTTGCTGGTCCAAGTTTCTTTATTGCTGGATTATCACCATTTTTCCTTGTAAGGTATGATTCTGCTTTGGGATGTTGATTCTGGACTTGCCCAACTTGACAAGTATTTCCACAGTAATGACAACCATGTCATAGCCGGTGCATTGTTGGGAGTTGGTATTGTGAACTGCGGTATCAAGAATAACTATGATCCTGTGAGTTATACTTTGGCATTTTCTGTACACAAGTCCTATGACTGTTATGTATTTGGAAATCCTAAATTTTCTTTTTTCGGGATTATATAGATAAAGAGGATTCTTCTGTCAGAGTTGGTGCAATAATGGGTCTAGGCCTTGCTTATGCTGGTGCCCAAAATGAGCAGCACTACAACAAAAACATACTTTAGTGGCACTACACTAGTGGCATATTTTTAGAAAATGCCACAAAAATGATATTTAGTGGCATGTTTTTGAAAAATGTCACAAAACGACAAACATAAAAGGCTCTAGTGACATTTCAATGAACAAGTGTCACAAAACTACAACAAAAACATACTTCAGTGGCACTACACTAGTGGTATATTTTTAGAAAATGCCACAAAAAATGATATTTAGTGGCACATTTTTGAAAAATGCCACAAAACGACAAACATAAAAGGCTCTAGTGACATTTCAATGAACAAGTGTCACAAAACTACAACAAAAACATACTTCAGTGGCACTACACTAGTGGTATATTTTTAGAAAATGCCACAAAAAATGATATTTAGTGGCACATTTTTGAAAAATGCCACAAAACGACAAACATAAAAGGCTCTAGTGACATTTCAATGAACAAGTGTCACAAAACTACAACAAAAACATACTTCAGTGGCACTACACTAGTGGTATATTTTTAGAAAATGCCACAAAAAATGATATTTAGTGGCACGTTTTTGAAAAATGCCACAAAACGACAAACATAAAAGGCTCTAGTGACATTTCAATGAACAAGTGTCACAAAACTACAACAAAAACATACTTCAGTGGCACTACACTAGTGGTATATTTTTAGAAAATGCCACAAAAAATGATATTTAGTGGCACGTTTTTGAAAAATGCCACAAAACGACAAACATAAAAGGCTCTAGTGACATTTCAATGAACAAGTGTCACAAAACTACAACAAAAACATACTTCAGTGGCACTACACTAGTGGTATATTTTTAGAAAATGCCACAAAAAATGATATTTAGTGGCACGTTTTTGAAAAATGCCACAAAACGACAAACATAAAAGGCTCTAGTGACATTTCAATGAACAAGTGTCACAAAACTACAACAAAAACATACTTCAGTGGCACTACACTAGTGGTATATTTTTAGAAAATGCCACAAAAAATGATATTTAGTGGCACGTTTTTGAAAAATGCCACAAAACGACAAACATAAAAGGCTCTAGTGACATTTCAATGAACAAGTGTCACAAAACTACAACAAAAACATACTTCAGTGGCACTACACTAGTGGTATATTTTTAGAAAATGCCACAAAAAATGATATTTAGTGGCACGTTTTTGAAAAATGCCACAAAACGACAAACATAAAAGGCTCTAGTGACATTTCAATGAACAAGTGTCACAAAACTACAACAAAAACATACTTCAGTGGCACTACACTAGTGGTATATTTTTAGAAAATGCCACAAAAAATGATATTTAGTGGCACGTTTTTGAAAAATGCCACAAAACGACAAACATAAAAGGCTCTAGTGACATTTCAATGAACAAGTGTCACAAAACTACAACAAAAACATACTTCAGTGGCACTACACTAGTGGTATATTTTTAGAAAATGCCACAAAAAATGATATTTAGTGGCACGTTTTTGAAAAATGCCACAAAACGACAAACATAAAAGGCTCTAGTGACATTTCAATGAACAAGTGTCACAAAACTACAACAAAAACATACTTCAGTGGCACTACACTAGTGGTATATTTTTAGAAAATGCCACAAAAAATGATATTTAGTGGCACGTTTTTGAAAAATGCCACAAAACGACAAACATAAAAGGCTCTAGTGACATTTCAATGAACAAGTGTCACAAAACTACAACAAAAACATACTTCAGTGGCACTACACTAGTGGTATATTTTTAGAAAATGCCACAAAAAATGATATTTAGTGGCACGTTTTTGAAAAATGCCACAAAACGACAAACATAAAAGGCTCTAGTGACATTTCAATGAACAAGTGTCACAAAACTACAACAAAAACATACTTCAGTGGCACTACACTAGTGGTATATTTTTAGAAAATGCCACAAAAAATGATATT